GTGTGTGTGTGTGTGTGTGTGTGTGTGTGTGTGTGTGTGTGTGTGTGATAACAGTTCAGTGCCCATACAAATCCAACAAAAGAATGAAACTAAATGAAGCATTACCTCAGCCACTCACAGAGCTGTAAAATTAGCCAATGGAACGATGAGCTCACTCACACTGTGCTTTTCATTTAAACACTTTTTACGACACACAGTCAACTAATAAGAATGCAGACTAATGAAAAGGTGATATCAAATGATGTAAATGCTCTTTGCATCATAATACGGTGCACACAGCTGATTAATCAATTATCAACGGTGTTTCACACTCTCATCAGGCCTTACAGCACCTTCACGGCTCTCTGGAAGATTCAAATAATACAGAAATAGAATAAAATCTCCCCTTTATTCAACGATTTGTGTACACACGTAGACAATTTAACATGCTGACATCTGCCATTGATTTGTAAAATGATACAAATAAGTAACGGGGGGGACTGCATGTGTAAAACAAAATGAACAATAAAATAAAGGTTATAACTGAACATATAGAAGAGGAGAATATAAACAAGAAGAAATGAAAATAAATGAGCAGAGGGCGTGATCATTTTGGGTTTGGATGCATTTCAGGCGAGCTTTGCAGGATGAGTTTGGTTTAGTGTTTTATAATTGTTTCTGTTCGTACACACACACACACACACACTTATATGTTACCCCCCAGTTATCTTCTTACATTTACATTTCAGTTGTGGCTTTAGCTCACCAGCAGCAGGATGGGTTTGATAATTGTTGAATATTTAAATTCTATTTATTTATCAATTTTTTATTTAATTTTTTACTATTTTTGTTAAATTATTATTTTCATTATTTTTATTTTTTAATTCATATTTTATTCTTGTAAAGCACTTTGTGAGTCATGTTCTATGATAGGTGCCATACTAAATAAACTTGTTAATATTATTTTAACTGTTCAAGGTTCTTGTTTTTTATTGCTGTATTCTGACAAACCGTGTGTGTGTGTGTGTGTGTGTGTGTGTGTGTGTGTGTGTGTGTGTGTGTGTGTGTGTGTGTGTGTGTGTGTGTGTGTGTGTGTGTGTGTGTGTGTGTGTGTGTGTGTGTGTGTGTCAGGCTCTCGGAGACTCTGACTTCCCCGCTGTGCTGAGGCAGCTGCTGCCCTTGATGAAGCCCCGTGGAGTCGAGGACAGCTCTGGGTCGAGGTCCGGGGAGGATGACTGCGGGCCGGATGAGCTGATCCTCCTGCTGGTCTACCTGTACTCCCTGGCTGACGAGGCCCAGCCCGTGGACCACGATGCCGAGGAGGAGCTGGAGAAGCTTGAGATGGAGCTGATTGGAGCGCTCACGCTGGTTGTCACCCGGGAGACCGAACTCAGCCCTCTGCTCCAGAAAGTCACCGGTAAGAGAAGGTTTTCATGATCGCTTCCAGGAGGGTTGAGAGAACAGCAGAGTGAGAACAGCTGATTGTTTGTTTCCTCTGTCGGCCTCCAGTGCTGCTGATGGGAGGGTTTTATCAAAGTCTTCACACTCCATCCCTCTCCCTACATCCCTGCATGCACACACACACACACACACACACACACACACACACACCTACACACACAGTCGAGTGTGGGAACGTCTGAGCTCTGTGGATGGAAGTGTGAGAGAGAAATGACCCTTCACTTTACTCTACAGCGCTAATGAGATCTACCTGTTCAGATGTAGGAACACTTTGTTTTTGTGGTTCAGACTTGCTCACAGGTTTAAAGCAAAGACTGTTTATAAGAAGTGGACGTAGTCATCGTGACGTCTCTCATTGGTTTGTGGACTGATGTTTTGAAGCCTCAAGTTTGTCGTTTTGGCCGTCGCCATTTTGTATTTTTGCAACCAGTGAACAGGAAGTGACCATATTTGGACTGAGGAGGAGTGACATAGAGACCCCGTATACGTCTCTGGTAGAGACCTGTCAATCACCGTGTAGCCCCGCCCTAAAGCATCCCCTGCTTTATGGTCTGTTTGACTCTAAATGGACCATAATGTACTAAATGAACATCATGCTGTATTGAAGAAGACTTGAAACTAGAGATTGAGACCATAAACTCATGTTTACAATGTTTACTGAGGTAATAAATCAAGAGAGAAGTAGAGTCATTTTCTCATAGACTTCTATACAACCGGACTTCTTTTCGTAATATCGATAAAAACCTAAAAAAATGAATACACGTACCAAATCAGCACACAAATATCGTGATAGGATCAAATCGGGGGATGAGCTAAGAGTCTCAGCCTTGTGTGTGTGTGTGTGTGTGTGCGTGTGCGTGTGCGTGTGTGTGTGTGTGTGGCACCGGAGCCGTTGCTCCGGTTTTTCGCTGAGCTGGTCGCCGTGTGGTCGAGCAGATCGAGGGCTTTAAGATGAACGAACCGTTCACCTCCCCACCACAGCCGGCTGTACCTCCCACTGTAATAACGTCTTTAACCTTGAGCCTGCACACACACACACACACACACACACACACACACGGTCTCCTCCCCGGCCACATAGTTCATAATTAGAGCTACTTTTAGTCTCGGGCCGCTCCGCACCTTAGCACACACCCTGAAATAATACACTGCAGTGAGGCTTCATATAGTGTGTGTCGGGTTGGTGAATCTGTGTAGAGCACAAATAAAGATTGTTGATCGCGCTCCTTCTTTCACCCTCATACTCCTCTTCCTGTTCTACTTGGATAAGTGCGGCTTGGAATCGAGGAGGCCTCTTGGCTCATGTTAAGAACCTGAGTCTCTGTTATAAACACTTCATTGGAAATTAGGCCTGTCATAGTGTGCCAGGTGTGTTTTAGACATGTGTGCGCGTGTGTGCGTGCGTGCGTGTGTGCGTTTGTTTTTATGGCGATGAAGTGGTCTGCTGCAGTAACATGAGGCGGGAGGTCGTCTCTCTCTGCATCCACAGAAAAAACACCGATTGTGACATTCTGCCACAATTAAAAGGCTCAAATAGAAACCAGACGTTGAATGAAACCCGGTCGCTGTGAGGACAATGTTTTTACAAATTCTACGCCCCCCCCCCCCCCCTCCAAACACACACACACACACTCACACACACACAAGAATGGAATAAACAAAGAGGAGGAATGAGGAGTAAGTTGAGGACGATACGTAGGACAGGACCCCGTTAGCTACCTCCTCCTGGGAACTTCATTAAAGAGCATCTTCAGGAAACGATGGACTATTTTACGTTGAGGATGTTTCCTGTCGAGCAGCGTCACAACATCCATGAACACAGTTTTTTATACAATAAGGCGTCAAAGAAGTTGATTTCCCAGTTTTGCATTTGTGAGCAGCAAGCAACGGTTTGTTACATAATCCATGCAGTGGATATTTTTATTCTTATGTTCATCTTTATTTTATTTGTATTTTATTTTATTATTTTATTATTTTATTTATTTTTTTTATTATTTTTATTATTTTATTATTTATTACACATATATATATTTTTTAATATAAAAATGTTATTCTTATAAAGCACTGTGTGAATCATGCCATACTAAATAACCTTAATATATATATAATATTATTTTAACTGTTCAGAGCCAATAGTTGATCTGTTGATCCGTCACAAATTAAAAGGCTCAAATAGAAACCAGACGTTGAATGAAACCCGATGTTTTTACAAAGTCTTCTGATTTGTAAAAACCCTGAGGCGACAACGCACGCAGAAACACAAGAACAACACACACACACACACTCACACTACCTCCTCCTGGCAACTTAATTAAAGAGCGTCTTCAGGAAATGGAGGACGACTTCACCTCGAAGGTTTTTTTCTGTTCCATGTTACATAATCCATCAGGTGGATACGTAGCTTCATTCATCTGGATATCTGAAGGATGAAGGATTCTTCACAGTAGTAACTACGTCACCAAGTTTCTAAAACCAAATATTTATCAAAGTTGCACAGATACATTTTACTTTCTGGTAAACCGAGTCCTTTAAATTGTAATCTATGTTTTCCCATGAGATAATCTAAATCTCCCTGTGGACTAAAGTGGTAGTGAGTCCCTTCATTTTACTGCAGCAGGGTCTGACAGTCTGCCCCTCTCAGTCCTGGTTCTGGTTCTCCCTTGCCTCCCTTCCCTCCAGTGGGTCCAGTAATACATCCTGGGTCTCCAGCAGCGTGGTGTCGGTGTTGGCTCCCAGAGAGGAGAAGCTCTGCTCCTGGAGGAGGAGGAGGAGGAGGAGGAGGAGATGCTGCTGCCGCCGGAGCCCCGACTGCAGGTGAAGCCGGATCTGGGTCTGTCCACGGTGGATCGGTCTCTGCTGGAGTCTGAGCTGAAGGAGGTTCTGGTGAACCTGCATGAGTTCATCTGGTTTCACCAGAATCCGACCCGGTGGCTCCGATGACGAGCATTAAGAATAACTCTATAGAAACAGACCATCTTCTCTCTGATGGTCTCTTTACTGATGGAGGTCTGATAGGGGATCAGGACTACACTGAGACTGGTTCAGGACCAGATAAAAGTCACTTTAAATAATGCATGTAACCACAGAGCAGCTCCACACCAGAGGGAGGACAGTGGAGCAGCCTGAACAGACTCCTTGATAAAGGGTGTGAACCACAGTTTGCATTCGTGTACACGATGCAACTTCCTCATCACTGCTGTCTGTGCATGCATGATAAACATTCACATTGTACAGGAGCGCACAGTGAGTGTGCAGTGAGGTCTCAGTGGATGGCTTTGATTAAACCGTATTTATGGTGTTGGATTATATTGTATTGGTGGTGGGCAGCGCCGCAGAGGAACCCACTGCTCTCCTACAACCTGGAGTCTGATTGGTCGCTGTGTGCAGGTTGTAAACGGCTCCGAGCCGTCACTGTTTAACCATCGGTCAGTTTTAGCGAAGACGATGTGGATGCTGGTGAGATGAAGATGTTTGGTGCAGAATCCAACCTCCTCCCTCTCATTTCTACTTGTCCAGGCCAACCCAAATGTTCCTCTTTCTCCACCCTGTGACAGTCGGCTCTGGATCACAGGGAGTCTGTCCTCGTGTCAGTGTGAGGATGTGAGTCCTCAGACGGCGATGCTGGTGATTTACTGACAGCAGTGACAGAAGGTCACAAAATCACTTTTCTGCAGAAGACGTGGATTTAATCTCTCTCTCTCTCTCTCTCTCTCTCTCTCTCTCTCTCTMTCTCTCTATCTCTATCTCTATCTCTGTCTGTCTCTCTGTATGTGTGCGCGCTTCAGACACACATCGGGTTTGTTGTTCATCCTGTCAGTGGGGGTGTGCACGGGGCAAGGGAGGAAGGGGGTTGGGGGCAGCGGGAGAGTCGGACCTCCCCAACGCCGCTGTTTGTGTTGGCACAGCAACACGGGCCAGTGAGGGGACATGAAAGGGCTCACACATAACTCTGGCCACCAACTCTCTCTCTCTCGTTTGCCTACTTCTCAAACTTTTCTTTGTTTTCTTAAATTTCCGTTTCTCCCTCTTTATTTTTTTTTTTTTTACCACCCTCTGTTGCTCCCTCCCTCCCTCCCTCCCTCCGAGGCCCTGAAGCACCAGCCTGGTTTCAGGGGAGGAAGCAGAGCATAAGTTAGTCTGATTAAATATATTTTCCCCTGCTGCACTGTTGTGTATGAAATTAGTGCTAATTATTTTTAATTGGTGGTCTTTTCTCTTACTTCCCCCTCAGTTACGCAAACAAACAAACACACACACACACACACACACACACACACACACGCATGCATGTATGAGGTGAGTGCTGCAGACCGCCGGCTGAACCAAGCAGCCGGTGGCGTCGTTCTCTCTAGTTCACTTCATCAGATAAGCTGATGACACGGAGCTCAGGCTTTAATTAGCAGAGGCTAACAGCTAACGGGCCACACACAGACCCCCAGTCAGCAGCTACACATGGGGGCTGGGTCTCCTTACTGTACCCTTGTTTCCTTGTATCCTTCCTACCCTCTGCTCCTCGGGGCTCTCTCCGTCCCACGCAACTTTGTGTCTTATGGCATCTTTACATTGACTTTGTATTTGGGCTGTCAACCAATATTCTAAATTATATTGTACACTTGAATTATACAAAAACAAGACACAAACAACACACATACAGCTGATGATGTGTTCGCTGCTCCACTCTACCTTCACAACAAGGATACATTTGTAAACTGATGGATCCATGGGTGGGTGGGTGAATAGATGGATTCATGAATTAATGGATGATGGATGGATCCAGACTACAACATCAAATCAGAATGAAACTGACGAACGGAAGCACACCAGACCCTGAAACTCTCTACGCTAAACCTCAACTCTGCTGCTTCAGCCCAGGATTGGTTTTGACTTGTCAGTGAAGTATTACGACGCAACCTGGCAGCAAAGAGAGATGGTTGTCTGTGTCTGTTCTGTACTCTA